AAAAAAACAGTTGTACTGTCAAATGTTAGTCCATGATACTATTAGTGCATCCCAGATGTCATAATTGTCACTTTATTCAGTAACTCCTTAATAGAATTATTCAAGACATGATTGTTTGCCAGACAAGGTATTGGACCTTGAACCATTAAGAATATTCAATTTGAATAGTCAAATTCAATACCCTATTGTATAATCAACACTATTTAGTAGTAATTAGTACAATTTGTTTCACGCTTTAATATAAATACTACAAAATAGGTGATAAATTATACAAATTTCTTTGTTTCCTATTGTATAATCAACACTATTTAGTAGTAATTAGTACTATTTGTTTCACGCTTTAAGTGCGAGCACTCTACTTTCTCACACTCTTTAAACGTAATTGTAATTTTAGTAGGTAACATGTCATCAGTTAACTAGATCTAAAGTGGAGAACGTTAACTGGTCACCTTGCATCTTTTGCCAAAAAATGAAATGTCGAGGAATCAAAATGTTGATGAATGTGTCATCTTTTGATGCATGCATGACCATTCAGGAAGCCGCAAGAAAAAGAAATGATTGGAAATTGATTTCTCAAATTCAAGGCGTTGACTTGATTGCTGCCGGTGCAAAGTATCATAAGAACTGCAGATCTATTTATGTCACCAAATCTAACTTAAATAGCAAAGATACTTCTTCTGACCTTGAAGATGTATATCCATTGGCTTTCAAAGAGCTAGTTAAAGACGTTGTGCCAGAATTTAAAGCTGGGAAGGTGCTAGATATGAAAGAACTGTTAGCATCTTATAAAATCATTTTAGRTAGAATTGGATGTCAGACTGCATCTAGTTACCGAAGCGAGCGACTTAAACACAGGTTYGAAAACTATTTCCAAGATGATCTAGTATTTCACAAGCAGCCAGATCCTTCTAAACCAGAATTGGTTTATTCAAGTTCTATTTKATTTCAAGATGTTATCAATGAAGCAGTTAGGAACTCATCTCATGTAAGGGCTTGTCCAGAAGTTTCCTCTTCCAAAAGCGAGAACTCTTTGACAGATGAAGAAAGCTCCACACTTTACCACGCCGCTCAAATTTTGAAAGCCAGCATAAAGAAAGAAGCAAGCAGTGTTAACATACAGCCTGTTAATTTAGAGGACCTGAGCAGTGACAGTATAAAATCATTTATACCGCAACTTCTATATAGGTTTTTATGAGTGATTGTCAGAGAAAACCGGGCAGGTTGAAAAGATGGGGGTCGGCCGATTTACCCTAAACTTATACCATTTATTAGGTATCGAATATAAGTAAGAATGGCCAAATATGAGCCTCAACGGACTTATACTTTCTGAGATGACCACCCCCTTCACTTTTGAGGCCAAAAAAGCGATTTAAATGCGAATAATTACGACGAATTTTGAGGACTCCTAACCTATGATACGCAAAATTAAACAATTTTTTACTGTTTCCCCAGTTTTTGTCATTTATTTGACTAGACATCCGAGTTAAAATAAAGAAGTTTTTTCTAAAATCGTTTGTGTCAGGGCCTTGACAAACATCGTATGGTTGACGTACTTTCGCCAACATTGAAATTTGTGGCAACTTTAAAAAATAATTTCTCAAAAGTGCGGCACTTTATTTTGAAAATTATTTGATATTATAATTATTTAAAGGTTTCTTGTTGATATAAAGCAATCCTAAATTTGGCACTTTTATTTGCTGAAATTTTGTAGGC